CCACCCTGGGGACACGGCTGTCAGCAGGACCGAGCTGAGGGGGCCGGGAGGGCTTCAAGGGAGGGGGACACTGGGGATGGCCAAGGGCACCGAGGTCCCCGGATTAACGCCGGGCATAGCGGGAGGGACAGCCCGGCAGGGCAGGCGGCGCGCGGGGGCGGTGCCTCACCCAGTTGCCGCAGGCCACGTCGAGGACGGAGCGGCAGCGGTGCTGGCGGAGCAGCGCCGGAGCCAGCTGCGGTACTCGGCCTTTGCGGCTCCGGCTGTCCCCGATGTACAGCTTGCCGACACGCGGGCCGCCTGCCCGTCTGCGTACTGGTCCGGCAGCCCTCCGCCGGCAACCCCAGGACCGCGTCCGTACAGCTGTCCCACCAATCCCGCCGACACGGATCACCGATCCGGCCCCGCACACCGAACGCCGGTCCCTCGGGGCCCGCTGGCGCCGCGAGACCCGCCCCCGCCCGCCGCCATCGCCGCCGTGTCCGCCCGCCCGCCGCCCAATGCGCACCGTGCTCCACCACGCCCGACCGCGCAATCGGCCGCCGCGTGTCGCCCGCCCCGCCCGCCCGCCAATCGCCGCTCCGACGCGCGCCCTCCGTAACCACGGCCACCCGCAGCAGCCCGCAATGCACGCTGCGCCCGCCAATCCCGCCCGGCCGCTGCCAATCACCGCTCGCCTGGCGCCCCCCGCGGCCCCGACGCTTCGGCGCGGCCAGGGTCAGGGCCCGCCCGCAGCGGCTCCGCCGCTCGTCCGGACCGCGGGCGAAGAAGGGCCGGCAGTGGGCAAGCTCTGGGGAAAACGTCTTTATTTACAGTCCCGGCTCGGTGCGAAGAGCCGGCGCCGGGGCAGCACTCGCAGCCTCCCGGAGCTGAAGCCCCCGGCAGGGAGGCACAACAGGGCTGGGTCCGCGGCTCCGTGACACCTAATCGCAGGATGGCACCCAGGCTGACAAGGCAGGACCGGGCGCTCTGGTCTCCCCCGGGTTGCAAGTCCCTTTTCCTTTGGTACCCACAGGCACAACGGGTTGAAACCCCAGAGCAGGCAGCCGCGGGGGCTGGGGCTGCGTGTCTACAGCTCATCAGCTGGGCTGTGGGTGAGTGGAGCCTTCTCCTGAACCCCCTCCTCCAGGGCCTCCCCTGTGTCCAGGACGCTAGTAGCTCCCACGCTCTCATCCTTCTGGTCCTTTTTCTTCTTCTTCCCGCTCTTTTTTTTGCTCTGCTTCTCCTCCACACTTGCCAAGTCGCCCTTCTTGCCAGTCCACTTCTCTGCCAGGCAGCCTGGGGAAGAGAGGGGCAGAGTGGGCTCTGAGGGAGAGGCAAGGTTCCCTGTGCCCTGGGCAAGGCTTCCCTGCCCTTCCTGCACGGCCCCTGGCAGCAGCCAGGACTTACTTGTATCCTTTCCTTTTAGCACATGGTTGGCGCAGAGAAACTGGGAGAGATCCTCCGTCTGGTGATGCCTGTACCAGTCCTCGATCACATCTTCATACTCCTCCACCAGCACATCGCACTAGGCAGAGAGAAGAGCCCAGCTCCAGACACATGCTGGTGCAGCAGGACCAGGACGGCAGGTCCTGCTAACACCCTGCTTCCAGCAGTGCACCCTTAGACTCTCTCCCCTTCTACTCTGGCCCACCAGGTCACAGAATCCACTGAGGGCCAGTCCCACTGGTCTGGGTACCTGCTTTTTGAGGTCAGCCACCTCAGCGGAGGTCTCGTTCCACAGCTCATAGGGGATGTCCATCACCACCTTGACGCCCTTGTGCACCAGGTTGTGCAGGGTCTCAAATGTCTCCGACATGCCCTGAAGGAGCAGAGCTGCGTGGTCAGGTGGTGCTCCTCCTGCCAGGCTCCCGCTCTCCCCTCCCAGTATTAGCCACACAACCCTGCCGAGCAATGCAGGAACGTGCAAGACAGACAAAGTCAGGCCCCTGGGGGGGGCCTTATCCCCCAGGTAAGGCATTACCAGGAGGGAGTTCAAGTGGCAACAAGTCCCTGTCTGCAAACGTGGTTCCAAAACCAACAGGAAGACAGCCTCTGGTTCCCTCCATGCAGGCGAGGGCAGGGGCCTGCCCACCGCCACCAAGGACAGCACCCCATACCTGACTTGGGGGGCAGCATGGCCTCTGATGCTGGGCACTGGCAGGGGATCCAGAGGATGGGAATAATGAATGTGATTTGTCACCCTGGCAGTGCAGGAGACATTTGGGAGCAGGGAACTGGAGGACAGACCTCACCTTCGCGAATCTGTTACTGCCACTCCTCTCCTTGTGCAGGTTGTAATCCAACAGCCGCTTGCAGATGTTCTCTGTCACCTCGATTAACCGTATGTCCCTGCATGAAGATGAGGGCTCAGGCTTAGCATGGCCCCCCAGGAACAGCCTCTCAAAGCCCTCAGCTCTGCAGACCACAGGCAGCGACAGCAGCAGGCAACCCCCATCCCACTCCTACTTACGACTGGGTGTACTTGACGGCAGAGCCCTTCCCGTCCAGGAAGCCGTACTTGGTGTCAATCACCTCCTTGGTCTTGCCAGTCTCCTCAAAAGCAGATTTCAGCTCCACAGCCACGTACTTGCACACTGCAGGGAGGAGAGCACAGGCAAGTTAGGGGGTGTCACTGTTCTGATGGCCAGTGGGACAAAGCAGCTGGGACAGCAGCAGGAACTAGCCCAGGAGCCAGGCACACCAAATCTGCTGTGAACACAAAACACACCTTGGCTGCTCAAAGAAATAACCAGGAATGGCTCAACTGTTTCCACTGGAGAACTCCTGAAGCACGAACACTGAAAACAATGCTTCAGTGTAAGCCAGCCACTACAGCACAGCTGGGAAGTCAGACAGGGCCAGTTCTGCCTGCAGGTTTCCCCCGAAGCTTCTACCTCCACAACACAAGCTGCTCTCTTCCTCTTGAAGAGGACAGGATCTTTTCACAACGCATGTCCCAGCACGGGTCGTAGTTTCTCCTCGTGACCACAGAACATCCCACCTGGTAATGGTTCCCTCAGTGCTCTGGGGACACAGGGACCATGCTGGGGACCAAGCGGCTGGCAGGGCCCAGTGGGCTGGGTGGCAGGACAAGGTGCTGGCTATGGACTGTGCCACTGCCAGAGAGGCCATGAGCTCCAGCAACACTGCAGCAGAGATCACAGCACCAACAGCTTTAGAACGCAGTGCATGGTTTCTTTTATAAAACTAAGAAAAACCTTTATTTCTTCTGTAAAAAGAGTTCAACAGAGCTACAGAAAAACAGAGCAGGAGAAATATCTCAGGCATTTACAATTGGAAATGCAGAGGGGTGGAAAGGAGGCACTGTGTCGGAGGGGTGGAAGCCAGGCATGGTGTGGCCCTTGCTTGCCCAAAACTAGGATTGCAGGAAACTGGAGAAAGTTTTGTCAGGAGCCATCTCTTCTTCAAGCCCCACTCCAGGAGAAGGGCCAAGCCCCAGCAAGAATTGTCTGGTGGCAGCAATGAGACATTGTCCCAGGCAATGATGTGAGCAGAGGGTCGTGCCACAGGCAGGAAGAGAGCAAGGTGGCTTCTCCAGAGCTCCCATGCATGTGTTGAGAATCCCTGTGTGCACCTCCTGCACGATCTTTTCTCAGCTGGCACCAGGGGCTGGAGGTGGCTGCAGCCATTTCTCAGGTGGGATGAGACTCAGGCCTTGAGGATGTCCCTTTCCACACCATACCTGCTGCAGTGTCTCCACACGTGCCAGGTGTGCTCACTGCTGGATCCAGTTATCCAGGTGCTGCCCACAGCTATTGCTGTTGCACACTGACACAGGTTCCAAGCCTGGGCAGGAAGAGGAGCAGAGGGTAGTCAGTGCTCGCTCTGATGCTTCTCTGGGGATGCAGGTGTCACTGCGGAGCTCGGACATCAGTGTCTCCAGAGCTACTTCCTCAGAAGGGAAAGCTTTGTAAAGAGCTCCATATTTCTTTATTTTCTCTTTGCCGTCCAGCTCCACCTGTCCCTACACAGCAAAGGCAGAGGAAGCCGCAGCAAACAGCAAATGTCCGTCACGACCTGCCCCGGATTGCCTGTGAACCAAGGAACTGCTCAGGGAGGAAGCGTCGCGGAGACGAACTGTAAGCAGCAGAAACGAGCAGCCCCAGCTACGAACCGGGGACACCGGTGCCCGCGGGCAGGAGGCGGGCAAAGGGGCAGCCCGCAGTGGCGCAGCCCCGCACCAGAAACCCCCGGCTCGAACAGACAGCCGGCGACGGCCGATCCCCCCCGCTCCCCTGCGGCGCCGCTTTACCTCGCACTTGCTGGGCAGTCGCACGCAGTCGAGTCGTCCGCCCTGCCGCGCCCGCGGCCATCAGCATCACGCAGCAAGCGCTGCCCCGCACCGCCGCCGCCATGGCTTCCGCTTCCGGGGCGCGCTCAGGCCGCCGCGCCCCACCGGTAACCATGTCGACCGAGCGCGAGCCGGCCCAATCCCGGCGGCGCGCGTGGCCCTCACGACCAATCCCCGCCCGCCTATCCCAGCGGCGCGCGGCCCCGCCGGGCGGTCCCGCCGAGCGCCCACGTGGCCCCGATGCGAACGGCCGCCCCCGGGCTCCTTCCCTGCCCTGGAATCCTGGGAACCTTCCCCCCGAGGTACCTTGGGCTCCCTTCCCATTCTCCAGGTAATTCCGGGGCCATGCCACCCACAGGAACATGGCAGCCCCTCTCTCTTGTCCCCCCAACACAAGATTCACACCCAGCACCCCCCCAAATGACACTGTCTCCCTCACTCCCTCTCCAGTCTCCACAGTATTTTGGGTGCCTTTCACACCCCTAGGCCGAAACAGGCGGACTTACCCCTCAGGGGTAGGCATCTGCCAAGCCCTCAGCTCTGGGCGAGGAGGATAGAGGTGAGGAGGGCATCTGAGAGCACGACCTTCAGTAGCACCACCCGAACAGCCATGAGCAGAGCTGCCAAGGCATGGTCTGAGAACACTGCAAAGGAAAGGCGGGAGTGACGCCTGCCACAGAAACCCCACTGCCCCCACATCCTCTCCAGGCCTGCCACAGGGCCAGGTTCAGGGGGATCTGGAAGCCTTACGTGTGCCAGAGTCACCTCATGTCACCCTCATGCTGTCCCTGAGGCAGGCTGGCTCTGACGCACCATCCCCATTCTTCCCACCAGGTGCCTTCACACAGGGAAAACCCATCCCAACCACCACACAGCTGCAGTCAAGCCCCTGCCAGGAGCCCAGCACGGTTTTCTCCCTGGTAACTGACATTCACACCACGGTAGGGCCAGAGACTCACCAACTGTGCTACCAGGACACAGCTCTGCCACCTCCTCGTTGCCTGTGGGATGAAAAAGCAGCTGGGGAGGCGCTGGCAGCCCAGCACCAGGTGTGCAGCAGGGCTGGCCACAAACCCCTTCCTGTGCCTGCCAGTCGAGGCAGTAACGTTGGCCCACAGGGCCTCACACCTGCTTCCAGAGACCCTGCCACCCCCCTCCTCAGGGGCCACCGGGGCATCCAACATGTTGGGCAGCAGTGGGCAAGGCAAGCAGAAGCGGTGGCAGCAGGGTCATACCCATGATGCGGATGGGGCTGGAGCTGTGGGACGGGGAGGTCCTGTTGGCCCCGACATGGCAGGCGAGTTCTCCCTCGGCCAGAAGGTCATTGGAAAGGAGGGAGACAGAGCAGACGGTGCCACCATCCTCCTGAGAGGCCCCGTAGGCAAAGGACGGCAGGACGCTGCCATTCCCGCTGGAGATCCAGACAGCGTGGCCGGAGCTGGGGGCCAGGTCGCTCACCACACAGACCACCAGCTGCCGACGCTGCCCGGCCACCACCATGCTCAGTGGTGGGGCCAGGGTGGGCAGCGGCATGGCTGCCCTGCCAACTGGGGGAGACAGGGTTTTAGGGGCACTGCATCCCTCACACATCCCACCCAGCACGGCTGCCAGCACGGCGGTGCTCATTCTTCACACACAGGCTGGTTGGCATCGGGCCCGTCCGCCCCCGGGGCTGTCCGGGGGCTACTTGGAGGGTACTCACGGGGCAGCAGCGGGAGCAGAGCGGCAGCCAGCAGCACCCGGGGCACCTCCATGGCGGCTCCGGCACATGGGGCTGCCGAGGGCTCAGCCCCCAACCGCGGCACCAGCTGCGCCGCCCCTCGCCGGGGCTGCGGCTGGCTCCCCCCGCGCAGTAGTACCGTCCCCGCCCCCGCCGGGTGGTACGGCCCGCCCCGCCCTGCCCCGCTGCGCCGCTCCTTCCCGACCCCGCCATGGAGCGGGTCCCCGGTCCCGGCCCGGCGCCGCCGCCCCGCCGCCTCCTTGGCCGAGGTGCTGCAGATGGTGCGGAGCGGGCGGGAGCCACCGGCGTGCGGCGCCCCCGCGCCTCGCCCACGGGGGACACCCCCACCGCCTCCCGCCTGCCGCCGCCCCCAAGCCCCTGGGGCGGCGCCCGGCCGCGGCCCCACGCCCCGCGGCCCCAGCACGCGCTGACGGCAGGTGATGGTAGAAACGTACGAAGAACTCTTGACCAGCTCTGCCTTGCGGCGGGGGGGTGGAGGGGAACGGAGGGCGCCTGGGACAGGGCTGGCTGGCAGTGGGGCAGCGGCTGCCGTGCACTGAGGGGGGCATGATGAGCTCCCGCCCCATGGTGTCCACGCTGCACGAGCGCCATTCAGGGTTGGAGCCAGGCTGGAAAGGCCTCTGCTTTCTTCTGCTTCAGCCAGAGACAAGCAAAACAGAAAAAAAACCACCCAACCCCTGCACTGTGGTGCTACACCAAGACAGATGCTGGGCTTGGCCACACCAAACACTCCCAGGACACGACTGACAGGGCAACCGTGGTTACTTGCAGTCAAGGCTGTGGCTTCATGCAGCAGAACTTTGTGCCTTCTTCTTCGTGGGTTAAGGCACATGTATGACAATAAAGCAAAACAAAACATGTCCAATCACTTTAACACATAGCCATCATTAAGGCATAGGTTTTTCAAGGATTTTTCTTCAAAAAACAAAATATATCTATTTTTTTGTCATTTTCAGCATCCACATTTCATGCTGTTTTATGACCTCTTCACCTCTGCAGCTTCAGCCAGCACTCAAAGGACAAAGAATCCCACCGCTCTCAACACAGGAGCCTAGTGGGAGCAGCAATATTGCTTGATTTCCATACACCACTTTTTGATAGCTAGTGAACCTTTAGGAAATGCAGATTAACTTCAACAGAGCCATGTTTCCTCTCCACACAGCTTGGTGACCACCCCATCTCAATACAACTGTCAAATTAATCTTGCAAAAATTTGAAGAACCTGAGAACTGACTGACATAACACTTGAAACTCTCAGGGGCAAGGGCAGGATGACACGTGCCTCCTCCAAGCAGCAGCATTGCTGTGCTGAGGACAAAGCTACTCCACCTTGAGCTTTGTTTTTATGTTCATGGCTGCCAGCTCCGCCACAAAGTAACGGAAGACATGGGGCACAGGGACAACCTCAATCGTGTCCACCTCGCTGCAGACTGAGCAGGAGTACCTCCTGCTGCTTGCCACAGAGGAGTGGGGCAGTTTCTCCAGCACAGGAGATGTCATGCTGCCACAGCTTGTGCACACGTAGGCAATGGAGCCATCGGAGCAGTTGAACAGGCGGTCTTGCAGCAGGAAAGATGTGCCATGAGCCAGCAGAGCATCCCGCTCCATCTCACCAAAGCGAATCCCACCTTCCACGTTCCTCCCCTTGACAGGCTGGTTGGTGACAGCATCTCGGGGCCCCGTTGTTCTCACCTGGAACTTGTCCGAGACCATGTGGCGCAGGCGCTGATAGTACACCACTCCCACAAAGATCTCTGCCTCCAGCTCCAGGCCGCTGATGCCGCTGTACATCTTTTCTGTCCCAAAGAAGTTATAACCTGCGCTCACTAAAGTCTCACCGAAGTATTTCAAAGCGGACTTCTTCTCTGTGAAGGTGAAGGGAGTGGCATCATAGGAGACACCATGCAGTGCTGCCGACTTCCCCGCCATGCTCTCAATCAACATTCCAATGGTCATACGGGAGGGAAAGCCATGAGGGTTGAAGAGGATGTCTGGAACCATCCCATTCTCTGTGAATGGCATATCCTCAACTGGCCAGAGCTGGCTCAGGATACCTTTCTGTCCATGACGGCTGGCAAATTTGTCTCCAACAGTTGGATTTCGGGGAACCCTCACAGTGATGCAAGCCTTCTTGAATTTCCCAGTGCCACGGTCATTACTGCATAACCTGACATTGTCTACAATGCCAACTTCCTTATTCCTGTGTAGGCAGAAAAACAATCACAGCAAAGGTGTCAGGCATGTCAATGATTTTTAGCTAGGAAAGGAAAATTGAGCAAAAAACCTTAACCACTTCATAGTTCTTATAAAATGCCTTGGGACAGCTGGGAAACACGACCATTCTTCAAAGTACTATGCAGTGGCAAAGGTAATCAGACTGCGTAAGAATTAGGGCAAGAAAGCAATATAAGGGCATCTCGCAAATGCCATTCAGCTACCACTTCCAGGTCAGCAGGTCACATGCCACCCATGATTTGAAATAAAGATCATTTAAACCTGGTTCATCTGTATCACACTTTGTATCTGAGAAACTGCATCCCAGCATCATTTCCTTTGCGTTAAGGCAAGTCCTTCTTCCTACCTCCAATAAATTGACACTATATTGATGGAATACCAAAATAAAGAACCGGGTTCAGTTCTTTAGCAGAGACAAAAGTTCTGATCAGACAGGGAAGGCAAAGTGTGAGCTTTGCCAACAAGTGCCTTGTTCAGGGGTATGTTCCTTCTCCAGATGAGCCCTCAACCTCCATATTCCATGTGCTGGGTGTCTGCTAATTGTTGTTACAGAGCTTTCAGCCCAAACTCTCCACTTATTTTGGAGACAATGGCTAAGGAATACATTTTGTCCCAAGACAAGGCTAATTTTCTCCTGTGTCCTAATGAACACAGTGTTTGTGGAAGGCCTGTATGCAAGTTTAGCTCCTGTTTCAAAGCTATTATTTTGTTGTGTCCATATGCAACCAGCACAGGCCATCACAAAAAAAAAAAAAAAAGAAAAGAAAAGAAAAGAAAGAGAGAGAGAAAACTGTGCTTCAAGTTTCCAAAACACAGTCCCATCCTAGCCACTGTGAAGAAAATTAACTTTACTCCAGCTAAAACCAGCACAATAAGCCTCTTCCAAGCTTGTTCAAAGGCTTTGAAGTCAAAGGCTCTGTCCTCCTAAGCCCACACCTATGGTCTAGCAGCATAAGAGGCACTTAGGACAGTAAAGAGAACTCCCTCGTAAGGGGCAAATTGGGAGCAGGAGCCAAGACTGAAAGCTAGGAGCCTCATCTCTCTGTAGAAAACTAAATAATTACCTCATGGGGATCGAGAATGAACAAAAGCTGAATGTTACAGAGGTAAAATGGCTCTCTGGATAAGGAATCTTAACTAAGGCCAGGCTAGCATGAGTGCTGGGGAGCTGGACCATGGGGTAGGAGAACCAGAAGACGAGGCTGAGCTTACAGACCTCCACATGATAATGTGCCGAGTCTCTTAGTCCTGCTCTGCGACTAGATTGACTAATTCTATGAGTCCACAGCAGACTCCCCAGTGCAACCAGGGCAGCATCTGTTACAGAGCAATAAACAATGGCCTTCCCAGTAATTCCAGTTACTGTGTCACCCAAGTGCTTCTCAAACTAATTTGCCTTCACAATGTGAATAATTACACAGCACTATCCCCACTCTGTCAGTGCTGTAGAGGGACACATGGACAACCTGAAGTTGTATGGACAACTGGGAGTGCAGGATGCACTTAAATACATCAGGTTTTGTCAACGTTTTTGATTTCCTTTCCTGAAAGAATTAAAAGGATTTTAATGAAAGCCCCAGCATCCTCCTTTCTTTCAACTGAAGTTCAAAAATCTTATGAAATTTATCCCTAGAATATTCCAGGGGAAGGGAGGAGTATAGTTGACATATTTTAATATTCTGCAGAATCTGCAATGTTAATAAAAATGCTCTTTGTACCCCTAATCCTGTAACAACTTTCTTACAAGGTTTTCTGGCAAGCCTCTGGGATCAGGAACTTCGGGGGTTTTTTGTTTGTTTTGTTTGGTGTTTCTTTGTTTTTTTTTTTTTAGACAGAACATTTTATGCAAATCAATCGACAAAAAGCTACAGAAAGTGACTGTGGCGTAGGCAGAGCAGCAATCCTTGGGAGACAGCAAAACACTTCTGCAAGTGCTTTCTTTTCACCCGCCTCAGATACTCCTCTTGGGATAAGTCAGCTCTGCAGCACAAATTGGCTTAGAGAACAGATGTGATGCATGAGTGGGAGTCGTCTACAGCATGAACTTCACGGTCTCTGTCAAGACACGGACACCAGGAGAAAAGGGAACACCTGGAGAAAAAGGGCCAACTGCTCTCACCACCTGGTGAGCAGAGCCAGGACAGACAAGCTGTACTTACGGATAGTGCACTGTAAAGGTCTCCCCTGTGTTGAGGTTCATGAAGCTGTAGAATGGGTCTCCGGGCTGTAGAATAGACCCAACAAAAGGCAGTCCGTCAGCATCCAGCTTCTCCATAACGTTTGGATCACCAGGCTTGATGCCAAATACTAAATTATCGCCTGCCCTGCTGGCTTTAAGGGAAAGGTCAATGCTCTCCATCTTGATAACACTTCCAAAAGCAAATCCTCTCTGCCAGGAAGATTTATTCACAATCTAAAAAGAAGAAACAAAGGCTTGTTAAAGACTTGCTAGTAACTTCAAAAAAGAAAGCATTTACAAGGTAAGCATCAGATCATTATGGAACACTGCCTTCCTAAACAAAGCCTCCCAGAAAGTCACCATTCCAAAAGGCTCAAGCCTCCTGTAACCCCAGTATTTTTCAATGCTGGAAGCTCACTGTCTTGCACAAAGGAGCTCTGCTCTACTCCCAGTACCTCCAGCATTACCTGCCGTAACAA